ACCATTCAAATGGGTATTCGAAAAAAAACAAAATGCACCAGATCTGTCCAATTTTACGCAAATTGGTATTTCAATTGTTTGCCGAATGACACACAATAGCTATTGGATATTTTTTTGTGGGGATTGCATAATATATTTGATATTGACTATTATTTTATTATTTATTTTGGTCCCCGTTGTTGTATTCACTTGCATGCATTTTAGTTGGCCAATATTTATTTCATTTAGCAATTGTTCGTCCGTAGGCATAATGACCAGGATTGAGTTGATCGAACACACCCACATATCGTTAACATGACCAAGCTAAAATAAACAAAAAAACTATTGCCGGTTGATAACAATTTTGAATACAATGTGGCATTCGTATGGCAGTGATGTGCCCATGGAAACAACAATGCAACACACACACTCATATACTCCATTTACACTAAATGTCGAATCTGTCGTGGTGCTAATGTGGAAAGCAAAAACAAAAATCAAATGCGTAGATGTCCACCTGGATATTATGTACAGTGTATCAGAAGAGGATATTAATTTAGTTATGACCTCCCCTAGGGAAAAGTGTATATTAATTTATCATTTCGTTTGCAACAACTCCAAATATTATTCTATAATCGAAAATTGCAATATTTAAAATAGAGGCCTGAAATTTTGCACACACACACAGCTCCAAAGATGTTTGAATTTGCCAATGAGTTACACTGGTTACGTTTTGACATAGCTCCTTTAAAAGGTCTGCCCCATTTTAGGTATTTTTAAGAGTTTAGCTGCATTTTCCTTTCAATGTGGCTGAAATTTGGCATTCCTAGTTTTCGGAGGTAGGAAACGGAGATTTCAGCTCCGGTTTGACAAACACACACGTCAAGCATTTAGCTGTTATTTGGGGAAATGTTCTATGCATGTCTATGTTTGACCTAGCTCCCATATAAAGGTCCCGCCCCATTTTATTTTTAAGGTCTTAGCTGTATTTGCTATATTGGTTCATGTTTTAACGTAGTTCCCACGGTAAGGTTCTACCCCTTGTCGGTATTTTAATCATTTTTGTTTCATTTTCCAACCTAAGTGTCTGTAATTTTGCATTCCAGGTTCTTCGAAGATGACGGATATTTTTGCAGAAAATTTTTAACATAGGCTAAAGTTTTGACATATAATAGTCATGTCCCATTTTGCGTATTATGGGTATTTTGTATTCTCCCACTGAATTGACATTCTGGATTCTGGTAGGGAGAAATTTATACATGCAGAATATTAAAAAGGATCATATTTTGATAAAGTCATTTGATCGGCGACGTGATGGGAAATCGATATTCCTGTCTATAAATTTGTTTCCTTTATTTTTTTCATACAGGTCCCTAAAGTTCCGAATTACGGACAATCAGTATGGATAACAGGGGTACATCCTGAGTGAATGGAATTTGGTACTTAATTTACTCAGATCATAGTGTCCATATAAAGGTTCCGAGATTTTCGTGGGTTATATAAAAATATGCCGCGGACAAACATAACGCGATGAATTTTTTTTAAGTACCAACACATATATAAACTTGCATTCCTACGACGACATTACCTATACGAGCTGATGATGCCCCACAAAGTTACGGTGGTAATTTTCACACCTTTCAAGGACTATCAAAGGCATGGATTTTTAAAGAATATTTTGTTCAAGAGTTATCACGGGCTTGCATTTTTAAAGGATATTTCCAAGTTCTTTAGCAGACGTGGTTTTTGTAAAGAATATTTTTAGGACTATCACAGGCATGGTTAACAAAAATCAAAGACTATACAGAGGCGTGGATTTAAAAAATCAAGGACTATACAGAAGAGTGGATTTAAAATAAATCCTAGGCCTACACAAAGGCGTGTATTTAAAAAATTCAAGGACTTTACAGAGGCGTAGATTTAATGTTTATGTTTGTAACAGGCAAAAGGAAACGAGACAGGCACATGGTCCCTTTTGAGAATATTGATAGAATCACTTTTTAAGTCGATTTATGCATGTCCGTCCGTCTGTCCATGTTAAATTGTAAAAAAAGTACAGGTCGCATTTATGATCCGAATTGGATGAAATTTGGCATAGGTCACTTATTTGGCCCAAGGACGAACCCTATTGAAATTGGAAAAAATCGGTTCAGTCCGATTTAATGTAAATGGTGCACCAAAGTCCCAAATATCTTTCGATTTGCACGAAATTTGCCATAGCGTACCGAATTATGTCTAGAATGATGTGTGTTAAGTTTCCTGAAAATCGGTCCAAATTTTTATATATAGCTCCCATATATATTTTCGACCGATTTAATGGTGTACCAAAGTCTTTCGATTTGCACAAAATATGGCATAGCTTACTGAAATAAGTCTAGAATGGTGTATTTTAAGTTTCGTGAAAATCGGTCCAGATTTAGATATAGCTCCCATATATATTTTCGTCCGATTTAATGTAAATGGTGTACCAAAGTTCCTATATATCAATCGATGTGCACGAAATTTGCCATAGCGTACTGAATTAGGTCTAGAATGATGTGTGTTACGTTTCGTGAAATTCGATTTAGATAGCTCCTATATATTAAAACGGCCCAAAGTTAGTCCGATTGCCACAAAATTTTGTACAATGAACTGTAGTTATAAAAATTAATCTCTGTTAAGTCTCAATGAAATCGGTTCAGATTTTGATATAATTTCTACATATATATTTTCGTCGGATTTTACACAAAATTGACACAAATTTTGCACAACGTCGACGTCTGTTAGGATTCATTTGTTGAATGTACACAAAGTGGTGAAGGGTATCATATAGTCGGCCCGTCCGACTTTACTACTTTCTTTACTGGTTTAAAGGATAGTTTGCCAGGAACTATCGCAGACTTAAATTTTTAAGAATGTGTTTTTTTTTGTAATTCTCACAGTTTTGAATTTTTTATAGAATATTTGATCAAGAACTATCGCAGGCGTGTATCTTTTAAAAAATTATTTATCAAGGACTATCATAGGCATGTATTTTTTAAAGAATATATTGTCAAGAATTTGTACAGTGTTGAATGTCTTAAAGAATATTTTTTTGGAGGAAGAAGGAGTGAACTGACGTCATCAAGAAACCTAAGTCATCGGAAGGGTTGGATCAGGACGGAATATTTATTTTAACACTGTGACACAAAATCGAGGTTATGGTCTGGGGTACGAATATGAATTGTGTGCTCAAACAAACTTCCATTAGTTATTTTTTTTTTTTTGGAGACTCTATCTAAATTGTTATGAGCGACATTTTTGCAGAATATAAGGAAGCTGAAAAATTCGTCTTGCGGTATACGTTTGGTTTCAAAAATAAGGATGAAAAAGACGTACACAGACTCAAGATAGGAGGAATTTTTTTGCAAAAATATTCCTCATTCCATTTGAAGATATGAAGATATCTTAAAATGACCTTAAATGCAATGACCGCAAGCTTTTTCTTCATGAACATTGGAGTTAGAAACCAAAAAATATTCAGGCCATAACTCAAAACCTTGACCTACGGCGTTCTTTTCCCTTAGGGTTCCTAATATACTCGCCAAGGATTTTCATCCAAATAAGGATTTTTCCACCGCAAAATATTGTTCCACAGTGTAATTAACCCGAAGTCGAGTGTTTTACACCTATATGAAACTCGTATGGACTGGACAATCGGAAAGGTGACGGAAAAGACTGTCGAAAAATTACATATGAATTCCATATAATATTTTTCAAGGAGTGAATAAATGTTCAATTCTTGATATGTAATATTTGTCTAGGTCCAATAACGCTAGATACTGAAAACTAATTTTTCCGTTTTTTAGTCGCCCTAAAGGTTACAGTCACAAATATTACTTGAGAAAGGGGATCTGCCAACTAATTAGAATGATTAACAGGTCAAATTAACAGATATTTTGTGTTTAAAACAAGTAAAAAAGCGTCAGCTGATTTTGCGGATAGATCTATACCCCAGCCTATAGTTTGTGGAATTCTACGGAATTATTACACACTGTATTTATCATTCGCTTTATATAATTTATATATTTTGATCAAATATTTGATAACCTGTGGATAGGTACCACAAGAGTTTGCTCTATTGAAGTATATGTTTGAATGTTTGAGGGTTAGGTCCAGATGTATTGGATCCATCAAAGTTTTGATCAAATTGGACATTCCATTAGTTTGATATTGAATTATCAAATTTTCAAAATATTGGCACTTTGTGGGGGAGGTACCGGAAGGAGAGAACCGGAGTATCACATCTTCGGACATGACCTAGGATTGGTTAAAGTATTACGATGTGTAACATTTAGATCAAATCGGACATTTCATTCGCTTAATAATTTACAACAATTTTAAATGATGACCCTTTATTAGGGAGTTACTAGAAGGAATGCACCGTCATTTGTCATGCAGGGTATCAAATGGTCGGCCCCGTCTTGCTATACTACTGGCCTCACTAGGTTAAATATTTTTATAATTACCATCAAGGCTATAGACGTGGATTTTTTTAAAGAATTTTGTTCATTTACCACAGTTTTCCTTGAACCACTGTAGTTGAAAAATTCAAGTTTCAGCATTTAATTTTTTGGCATTCATTTGATCTGATTGCGTTGTTATTTTTAAGGCAAATGGTATCGTGAACAACACAGCAGAGTTTTTACTTAATTCAGCAACATGTCTATACCCTGCGTTTTTATTTTCGGCCATGATGAGAATTAACGCAACTGGCAATGAGTTTTCACTTGAATTCGGTTTTTAATCGCATTGCACAATCATGGTCGTCGCTATAAAAACGGGCCAAAATACAAGTTTGCAACATCATGGCACGGTAAATTAAACAACAAACGAAAGAGATACAATCGGTTTTTTTTCTAGGGCAAGGATCCTTCCGAAGAGGAGGATGATGGAAATATGGAAATTTGGTCAAATTATTGGAGGTTGGTAGAGGCTTTTGGTGTGGATCCATAGTAACAAAGGATTTCTTTTATTCTTCTGGTATTAGGGCTTTAGGTGTTCTATTGCAGGGATTCTTCCGATGAAGAGGGTGAGGCAGTAACAACATTTTTCGAATCTGGCAATTTGGTTGAACTCTTGGAGGCTGGGGTTGGCTTTTGGTGTCGAGACTTAATGATAACGGGTTTCATTTCCTCCTCCGGCATTAAGACCACAGTATTGCCACGCAAACTAACAAAGGTTTTACGCGTCACGGGAACGGTGGGATCAACGGTTAGGCCCATTTGTTTAATATCCGGTTGCTTAGTTGTCCAATCTGCCAGGTCAATATCCAACGGAGTCAATTCCGATTTACTTTCACTGCGTTTATTCATCTCAGCAGAAAATTGTGTTTTCTTTTTATTCTGCTTGGCCTGAGAACGTTTAAGGCGATAGAAGTCCTCTCGTTCAAATTCATCCAATTCATCGCGTATATAATTGAGGGTATTGTGATAGCGTGGTAGTACCACATACTCCAAACCATTGACACGTCGATTATTTAGCTTAACGGCCTCACTGATAATTTTGGCATTATACTCCAAGGAGGCCAATGCGACGAGTATTCTTAAGGCTTCTTGAAATTTCTCTCTTACCACATCGACCTGTTGACCACCAGCTCCAAGTCCGGTTAATGGTAAGGATTGAAAAGGCAACAAAACCAACTCGAAAGAGGGAACATTCATGCCGACAATTTTATTATTTTTCAAATGTAAAAATGCATTGGCACTGTCCGGTTGTTCCACGGTGACCGATTTGAAGTCGGTGGCTAAGAATTTTGCTTTCGCCATCGAGAAACGAGCTTCTTGCATTATATCTCGAACTTGTTCTTGATTTTTCTTTAATTCACTCAGAATTTGTCGTAGATGCAGTTCCAAGGCATCACGTTTTCGTTTTAATAAACTGAGCCCGGTTGTAGCCCCCACAATGCGTTGTTTCATCAAAACAAAATTGGCACGCGAGGGGAATATTGGTAACACGTCCCGCCCTGACATTTTGGAAATAAATTAAAAATTCAAATACAAATGAGAAAAAATTATTAAACATCATTTTTTGTGAAATATTTGTCAACATTTTTAAGGACCAATCAAACTATGGGCTTCAATTTTTTTAAATAATATTTTTCAAGGAACTTCTCCGCTAATGGTTTTCAAGGACCTTCTTCTTTTTAGGTGTGGTTTTATTAAATAATATTTTGCAAGGACCTTCTCCGCTATAGGGGTGGTTTTTTTAAATTATTTTTTTAACCTTCTCCGCTATAGGCGTGGATTTTTTCAAGTCTTTTTTTCAAGGACCTTATCCGCTATAGGTGTGGATTTTTTAAATAATATTTTGTCAAGGACCTTCTCCGCTATAGGCGTGGATTTTTTAAATAATATATTTAAAAGACCTTCTCCGCTATAGGCGTGAATTTTTTAAATAATATTTTTCAAGGACCATCTCCGCTATAGGCGTGAATTTTTTAAATAATATTATTCAGGGACCTTCTCCGCTATAGGCGTGAATTTTTTGAACCAACCATCATGGCTATAGGCGTGGATTTTTTTAAAAATATTTTTCACCAACCATCATGGCATAAGGCGTGGATTTTTTTTAATAATATTTTTCACCAACCATCATGGCTATAGGCGTGGATTTTTTTAAAAAAAATATTTTTCACCAACCATCATGGCTAAAGGTGTGGATTTTTTTAAGAAATATTTTTCACCAAGCATCATGGCTATAGGCGTGGATTTTTTTAAAAAATATTTTTCACCAACCATCATGGCTAAAGGTGTGGATTTTTTTAAGAAATATTTTTCACCAAGCATCATGGCTATAGGCGTGGATTTTTTTAAAAAATATTTTTCACCAACCATCTTGGCTATAGGCGTGGATTTTTTAAATAATATTTTATTATAAGGACCAACAAAGTTATGTCTTTTCAACAAATCACCAGTGCATGGGTTTATTAAATGCATATTTGAAATAAATAGTTTATCTTTACACTTCTTCAGCTATTTAACAACATTACTCGCTTCCCTTTGGTAGTACAAGCTCAAAAATAAATACGTTTGTATAAACACAATGCAATGTGATTAAATATTTAAGGCGATTAAATTTACGGCTTAAAACTACCAAACACCAATGGCCAACAATGACCACTGAACGTAGTCCAAGCTTACTCACACACACTTACTCATTCATATATTAATGTTGAAGTTAAAAAAAGATTTCAACTTAAAAATTAAAGTTCTTTCGTATAAATCCTGTCGACATTGTTGGTATATATGCATACATACATAACAACAAATGTATTGGTATGTGCAAGGGTATAAGACAATAACAGCTAATGTACGAAATAACACACACCGACAATACTACACGTGACACTTAATGTTGGTAGTACAAGAAGCCAACAGCAGTTTTTGGTTTTTATGCATCACCTGCTATAAACACAATAGACAGTGGGTAAAAAATGGAATTGGAAAAATATTCTTTAAAAAATCCACACGTATAGCCTTGATGTTCGGTGGAAATTTTTTCTTTAAAAAATCCACACGTATAGTCTCGATGTTTGGTGGAAAAATATTCTATAAAATATCCACACGTATAGCCTTGATGTTCGGTGGTAAAATATTCTTTAAAAAAGCCACGACTATAGCCTTGATGTTCGGTGGAAAAATATTCTTTAAAAAATCCACACGTATTGTCTTGATGTTTGGTGGAAAAATATTCTATAAAATATCCACACGTATAGCCTTGATGTTCGGTGGTAAAATATTCTTTAAAAAAGCCACGCCTATAGCCTTGATGTTCGGTGGAAAAATATTCTTTAAAAAATCCACGCCTATAGCCTTGATGTTCGGTGGAAAAATATTTTTTAAAAAATCCACACGTATAGCATTGATGGTATTGGAAAAATATTCTTTAAAAAATCCACGCCTATAGCCTTGATGTTCGGTGGAAAAATATTTTTTAAAAAATCCACACGTATAGCATTGATGGTATTGGAAAAATATTCTTTAAAAAATCCACGCCTATAGCCTTGGTGGTTGATGAAAAATATTCTTTAAAAGAGCCATGCCCTTAGAAGGACTTAAAAGACCTCTGAGTATTTTTGGGCTATTGAGAATTTGTTTCCCTATAGAACATTGTCTATATGTTGGCACTCATACACACGAACTAATACCTTAACATATAGCTGACTAACACGTATAAATAAAAATGCCTTTAAGCCATTGCAAAAGAATTGCACCAACTGTAAAGACTTCCAGCACTACCACTGATGGTACTTCTGTGTGTGGTAGTGCGAGTGGAACGTTGCATTGTGGCAATGATAGTAATAAAATCACATTTCAATGCACTCCAAGCAGATGAAGATGGACGCGGAGGAGGACATCGTGTCAGGTCCGAGATTGTCAGAGCAGGAGGGCAAGAGACACAAATTTAAATTGAAACAGATGGCAACAACATTAAAAGGCCACACACTTTGGTGATGGTAAAGACAATCTGAAGTGGATTCACCTATGTCCCTGTCCATGTCTATGGGTGTGTGTGTTTTAGTATGTGTTCTTTTTAAAAACCTTAATCCAACATTTGTGCTACTGCTGTTGTTGTTTTTCTTGAGCACGAGATTGGTTGAAGTTTGGTTTGGTTTGCTGGTCGGACTAACATGGTCGGACAATTCTGTACAGATTTCTGGCATTCAAGTGTGGCAAATGGTAAATGTCATTCCAGCTGCTGGTTTTGGTCCGTCCTGCTTCTGCTGCAATGGCATTCACAAACCAACGTTGATGATTTTTCAAAAAGAGAGAGAATTGTATTTTTGTTGTTAGTTCGGATTCCGAGAATCCATTGCTATTTGGTCACTGCAGTAGCTGCAGTTAATGTCATTCCTTTTGGTGTTTCTTGTTTCTTCTTTTTCTCTGTCTTTGAGGCATTTAATTCGTATAACGGCTGTCCTTGTTGTTGTTTATTCTGTTTTGCAAAATAAGCCAGAGCCAGAGTAGAAGACAGTCAGGTCTCCACCTCTAATGGCCAGGCAATGAATTGGGGCATTATGTGGGATCAGAAGGTAATGTGGAATCCCATCAAGGCTTCTGGGTAACACATGTACTCTACATTACACATACATATGCGAAAACAAAGCTACTCGTACCTGTTTACAAGGATACAAAACACACACACACACGTGAGACTTTACGAAGTCATGTTTTGTTGGTTTTGCGGTACGGACATGTAAGTTAGTTTAAATTTGTGTTAGAGAACATTTTCAAAGATTTTTTGGCAATAATAGTAATGTTGACATTTCTGTTCATTTATTATAAACTCAGTACCTGCACATACATGATATCAACAAAGTCAATTGTTGTTGGTTTCTAACAACAAAATAAAAACACAAGTTGAATGAAACCCCAAATTACTTTGATTATCGTCCAAAGTAAGAAGGATGATTTGGACGTTGTTTTAGTTTTGCTTACAAGACTGAAATTAAATTAGTTTGAATTGTGGTTATTGGCCATGACCCGAAATGAACAGCATCAGCCCTTTTATTGGAAATTTTTTGGGATAAATCATAGGGGACAAAAGTTTTGTATTCAAAAAGGAAATAACATGTAAGGGATATATTCGAAAGAACATAGAACATCATACTGGTACAGGTTTGGAATTAAAATTTGAAAACAACCGGATAGGAAATCTACACCTGAGAAGTTGAATATAATGAAAAGGCATTCGTATCTAACATTATTAGATATTGAAATCGTTGTAAAGGAAAACATGCATTGAATGATGTTCAGAATACCAACATGGATTGTGAGAAATTAAAAACTAGAAAATACGATGGACGAATGGCATTACTGCAGGATATACTATAACATTTAGATGCCATCAAGAATATCTTGTCAAGGCCTGTTATAGACGTGAATTGTTTAACAATTTTTTTTCGACACCCAATACAGGCGTGGATTTTTAAAAAAATATTTTTTCGACACCCAATACAAGTGTGGATTCTTTAAAGAAACAATTTTCAAGGGCAAATACAGGCGTAGATATTTTAAAGAATACTTTTTCGACACTCAATACAAGTGTGGATTTTTTAAAAAATATTTTTTTCGACATCCAATGCTAGTGTGAATTCTTTAAAAAACATATTTTCATATACAGAATATATGTTTTCAACGATCAATACAAGAATTTTTTTTAAGGATCCTTGAATAAATATTCCTTAAACGTCCACGCCTGCATTGATCCTTGAAAAATATTCTAAAGAAGAATATATGTTGTCAAGGATCAATACAAGAATTTTTTTCAAGGATTTATTTAAAGAATATTTTTACAAGGACCAATACAGGACCAATACAATGTTTAAAAGATGTTTTCAAGGATTTGTTTACAGAATATTTTTTCAAGGACCAATATATTTGTGGATGCTTTAACGAATATCCTTTTGACATAAAACATATTGTAAAGAATATTTCTTCAAGGATTAATGCAGGCATGGATTTTTTAAGAATTTCACGGATTAATGCAGGCGTATATTTTTTAGAATATTTTTCAAGGATCAATACAGGCGTGGACGTTTTAGGAATATTTTTTCAAGGATTAATGCAGGCGTGGTTTTTTTAAGAACATGTTTGTCGATGTTAAATTGTAAACAAAGTACAGGTCGCACTTATAATCCGAATTGGATGAAATTTGGCATAGGTCACTTATTTGGCCCAAGGACGAACCCTATTGAAATTGGGACAAATCGATTCAGATTTAGATATAGCTCCCATATATATTTTCGTCCGATTTAATGTAAACGGTCCCTATATATCTTTCGATTTGCACGAAATTTGACACAGCGTAATGAATTAGGTCTAGAATAATGTATGTCAAGTTTCCTGAAAATCGGTTCAGATTTGGATATAGGTCCCATATATATTTGCGTCAGATTTAAGGTAAATGGTGTACCAAAGTCTCTAAACGATGCGTGTTAAATTTTGTGAAAATCGGTCCAGATTTAGAT